TCAACAACAAGCAGTACCGCTGTGAGTGGCGGGAGGGAGGGCGGAAGGGAGGGGGGAAGGAGGGAGGGATGGGGAGAGGGAGGGGGGGAGGGAGGGGGAGAGAGGAAATTCAGGGTGTGCAGACTAGAAAAAGTAAGCACGGTGACATCATCACCAACTTGCCCACTGATTTTCAGCAACAAGCTCGCAGTGGTTGAATAAAAGTGTAGTCCTGACCCTACTGTATGTAATGTTTTCTGTTCGTACTGTGTTGTCATCTCTCCATGCTATGCTGTGCTACCCCCTGCACTCCCCCCACTCACTTCACCGCCCTCCACCTCTCTCCACTGCGCTGTGGTAGCCAATGCATGTTATTTCACCCATCGGTACCCCTCTCTACTCCTCTCAGGCAAGCTGGACTCCAAGGCAGTACTCAAGGCTGTCTGCTCGGGCTTTAAGGAAACCACTGACCCTCCTGTGTGCCTTGGAGCAGGTATGGAACCCCGCTATTTTGTTTGCGATTCCTTGAGGGGGTATTGGATAGCAGTTGTTGCAGATAGAATGAACAGAATCAGAGTCGCCTGTGTTCCGTTGTCGACTGTTCGATGGTATGTTTACCAAATGTCTACTGTTTCACTGTAGACTTTTCACCGGATTGGTTTTTTCGAGCTGTCTGGGAAGTGGCTGCTGTGGGGATGGGTCCTCCTTGCAGTTTTGTTTGTTACGTAATGATGTTGCAGAGTATTTTTTAGAAATCTCAACATTATGGGTCCTTATTGCTCTCAACATGGTTTGTTACCCTGCAACAGCATGGGACCTTATTGCTGTTTTGTTTTTTATATAATGATCTTCTCCCCCACCCCGCTCCGTTTCCTCCCTTCTTGGAATGGTCTGCGGAGCAGATGTGCAGACAAACGAGTGCTTGCAGAACAATGGTGGCTGCTGGCAGGGCTACAACCTCACTGCATGCAAGGTACGATCCTTGAGGCGCCTAAAAAAAACGGCGGCTGTTGGCAGGACCACAGCCTCACTGCATGCAAGGTGCTGCGTCGACATGTGGATTCGTTTCATATTTAGATACAAAAGAGTGTCCACTTAAGACAATCTATCGGTGCAGACGAACAAGTGCTTGGTCTGTGGATCTGGCGCAGTGCAAAGCCTTGGAAGCTAATACATGCTACACCATGCCATCACACATTCCCACGGCACGCACGCTCCTTTTGTGAGCTCCCTTTTTACCTCAGCAGCACACACTTCTGACATGGATCGCTTTGTGAAGCCCACAACATGCCACTGGCCCCTTACCCCTGCCTCTCCGCTGTCCCTCCCATGCCCTCCACCAGGACACGTTCCGAGGGCGAGTGTGCGAGTGTCCCAAGGACCCCCAAACTGGCGTGTATCTGTCGGGAGATGGCTACACCAAGTGCGAACGTGAGTGCACTGCATATGATTTTATGGATTTCTCTGGTTGCACATGTGCAGTGGGGTTGGGTGCGTGGGGTGGGTTGGGTTTGGTAGTAAGGTGGGTATACAATGCTGTAAGAACCCCCAGACTGGCATGTATTTGTCGGCATTGCAGCACACTAGGTTGTTTGAGCTCCTATGGTGGAGAATCGCCTTGCGGGATACAACAGCTCAATGTTCGCATATGGCAAGGTGTGACCTCCCCTTTGCGGCGCTCCTGACCATAGGTGAACATTGTGCTGTTGTATCCCCCAAGGTAGTTCTCCACCATGGGAGCTCCACCCCTCCTACCCCTGCCCCGCGCCTGCATTCCTCCCTGTTGCCACGGGGGTGGGTCGCTGTATGGTCAACAACGAGGGCTGTTTGCAGGGGGCTGGTGACGGCCAAACCTTCACTGCCGTGCTCTACCCCCTCACCCCCCGTCCGACCCCCTTCCCTTCCCCTTTTCCCCCACGCCCTCATCCATCCCCTGCAGCCACAGGGGTGGGTCGCTGTTTGGTCAACAACGGCGGCTGCTGGCAGGGGGCTGGCGACGGCCAAACCTTCACTGCCTGCCAGGTGCGTTGCTGTGGCCGAACGGCAGGTCACCTGCCAGGTAAGGAGAAGGCGTCTGCGTAAGAACACTCAGGCTGGTATCTACAAGGAGGCGGAGCAAGCACCCTTCCTCGCCTCTTCCTCCCTATGTTGCACTTCCATCCCCACTTGTGTTACGTAATTTGTGTGCTTCCAGGGTTTAGGGGCGACGGGTTCAAGTGTGAGGACATAAACGAGTGCTCTGAGCACAGCCCCCACCTCACTCACCTCCCTGCTCATGCACCTCCGTTACCCCTTGTATCCAAGCAGGACAGTTCGTCAAACCGGTGTGTGTGCCGGGGAGACGGGTTCAAGTGTGAGGACATAGTCGAGTGCTCGGAGAACAGCCCCCATCTCACTCACCTCCCTATTTGTGCACCTCCGTTACCCTTACTATCCAAGCAGGACAGTTCGTCGACCCAGTGTGTGTGCCCCCCGGATACAAGTGTGAGGACATAGACGAGTGCTCGGAGCACAGCGCATGCCCACAGCTCCCTCTCCTGTTTATTCTCCGACCCTGCCCTCCCCCACCACCCCCACTCTTTCTCCACCACTCCCCACCACCCCCCACCTCTCCCCACCGAGCAGGACAGCTCGTCAACCCAGTGTGTATGCCCCCCAGGGTTTAGGGGAGACGGGTACAAGTGTGAGGACATAGACGAGTGCTCGGAGCACAGCGCGTGCAGCTGTGTGGACTGCCACTGCAAGAACACGTTCGGGTCGTACGAGTGCTCGTGCTACAACGGGCTGGTCTACCTCAAGGACTCGGATACGTGCATCAGTGAGTTCATGTGCATCAGTGGGTTGACGTGCATGAGTGTGCATGCAGTTGTGGTGGGTGTGCATCGGTGGCCCCGTGGGCGATGTGCTGCTGGGATTAGTGAGTAGGTATGCTCGAGTGTGTATGAGTGGGTGGCGTGCGTTGGTGGGTAGCCTGTCGTTGGTTGGAATGGGAACAAAGAGTGTCAGATGCCTCTGGAAGGACATGCTAGGCTGTGCTCAGCATGTTCAATGCTTAGCACCCTCACTGTGCTTGGATCGTACGAGTGGCCTTTGACTTCGAAAAATCCCCCCCCCCCTCTCCATCCCTACATCTTTCCCCACCTTCCTTCTCCCAATCCCTCCGTCAATACATCTTTCCCCACCCCTCTCACCTGCAGGCAAAGAGGGCGGCACGCCCCCCACGCGGCTGTGGGGAATGGTGGCAGGCATTGTGCTGGGCTCACTTGTCATTGTGGCCATCGTGGCTTACATCGTGTACAAGTACCGCCTCAGGGTGAGTTTCGCTCAGGCTGAGAGAACGAGGAGGCTTTGAGTCGACTCAGAAACCAGCCCTTGCCATGTAAATATGTGCCCCTGTCCATTTTAATGTGCTCACTAGTCATTGTGGCCATCGTAACTTATATCGTGTACAAGTACCGCCTCCGGGTGAGTGGAGAGGTTGAGGGTGAGCGGGGGCTGTGGGGAATGGTGGCGGGCATTGTGCTGGGGTCACTCGTCGTTGTGGCCATCGTGCCTTATATCGTGTACAAGTACCGCCTCCGGGTGAGTGGAGTTTCTGAGGCGTCTCAAAAATGTATCGTGTACAAGGGCGGGCTCAGGGCGAGTAGAAGGTCAGGGTGAGCGGGGGCTGTGGGGTATGATGGTGGGCATTGTGCTGGGGTCACTCGTTATTGTGGCCATCGTGGCTTATATCGTGTACAAGTACCGTCTCCGGGTCAGTGCAGGCTCAGGGTGAGAGGAAGGTCAGGGTGAGTGGTGGGTCAGGTTAAGCCTTAAGGGTGAGCGGGGGCTGTGGGGAATGTTGGCAGGCATTGTGCTAGGTTCACTCGTCGTTGTGGCTATCGTGACTTATATCGTGTACAAGTACCGCCTCCGGGTGAGTGGAGGCTTAGAAAGCTGAGGGAGAGATCAATGAATCAATTCTCCCCTTACCCCACTTCTCCCCCTCTTCCACCACCAGTCATACATGGACTCGGAGATTCGAGCCATCATGGCACAGTACATGCCGCTGGACAGCCAGAACGACCAGCAGGTGGCACGGCAGCCCATGCTCAACAACGACGACGAGTTCTCTGCTTGACGGGTTGTCCATGGAAATTTACGTTGAGATTTCTGTTGCATTCAGTGAAAGGGGTGGTGTTGCTGTTGATTTAGGGTGCTGCTGCTGAGGCAGTGGCCGCTGCGCCGCGTGATATGTTGTTAATGAGGCAGTAAATGCGCGCATGGTGATGCAGTGTGCGGATAGGTGTGCTTCTTTCGTACATAGCGCAGTCCACTGGGGGGTGCTTAGGGCACCTTCATATAACATAGTTGTAGTACAGCTGGCTAACATGTCGGAGTGATTGTGTTACATGTCATGAGTGTGCAGTACTCACTAGTGTTTGCGTACGGCAGTACTTGTTTGGATAAGCAACAAATGATAACACATCAGAATACATGTTCCAGTTTTCTGAAAGTGTATACATCCCGATTGCAGTTCTATCGCATCTGCGATCCTTAGAGTGAAGCTAACAACCCAATGTCGAGTATGAATACACCATCGACAACATCTCTCGTCGCCCAGCATATCACGGATTCAGATCGCCGAGCTCACCAATGCAGCGCAAAAGCACAGTTGTAAAGGTCCAGCGCATCGCGCGCACAGATGCTGCATGGCCGAGCACGCGCCGCGCTGGAGGTTGCTCCGTCCCGTGTCGCTTGAAGGTCAGGCGAAATGTTCGAGATGCGCAAACGACATGCACATCCTAAACTGGGAAATATTGCCACAAGGATGAATGGCAGTGCGAATACCCATGCCCTCGCCATGCCTTCGCCATGCTCTCAGCATGTGATAGCATGGTCCCCACTGACGCGTCCGCGCATCTCGCGTGCGCATGCCTGAATCGCTCTGTCGCGCGTTCATTAGCCAAGCTGCTTCGCTAGTCTCTCGGAACCTGCCAGCGTCGCGGTGGAGAGGGATGCTACTCTGGAGGTTCCCTAACATGACGTCAGCACGCTTGTCATGCGCTTTCGAACGCCACGCGCAGGGCGCCGCATCATCATCCAGCTCAATGTCTGCATCCCGAGGCGCGCATTTCTCTGCAGGCCGAGGCTTGTTCGTCTCCTTTCTCCCTTCAGTGGCATCCCTTTCGGGTGTTTCTTGCTCGCGATTCGGAAGTGCGTGCTAGTGTTTCGGTTCGAGAGGGAGAGAGGGGTTTCAGAGTAACTAGGGTGATACAATCGATAGTGGGTTTCCTTGTGAGTGTTGTTTCTCATATTCCTGCCACAGCAGCACACGTGAGTTGTTTTCGGTTCGAGCTCCAAACTGCCAACAGGTTTACACTGAGGTTTTTGATATTGCTCTCGCAGGGACGGAAGATCTTTCTCGTTTCCCGTTTCAAGCTGTGTCTTCTCGTGCGCCGACCATCCAATTGCTTCTAAAGAGCGTGATAGAGCACCCGTAAGCGCAGCTCGCGTCCGTTTGCTCCGTACGCGGCAGTAGTAGATTCAGTAAGCGCAGCAGCATGGCGGCGGAGGTAGGCCGCGCGGGGGGCGCGCCTGGCGGCGGAACGGGGGAATCGCCAGCGGAGCGGGAGAGGGCGCTGATCCACGTGGCGGCGCCGCCCGCGAGTCTCAAGGAGAAAATCGAGGAGTGGTGGGAGCAGATCGGGCGCGAGCAGCACCAGGCGCGGCGGGAGGGGAAGTGGGGCGGAGGGGAGCGGGCGGCGGAAGGGGGAAGGGCGGCGGAAGGGGAGAGGGCGGAAGGGGAGGCGGAGAGGGAGAGGGCGCGGAGGGTGACTGCAGACGAGGTGACTGAAAAGAAACTCGTGGCTGTGAGCCAGGTGCTGGCTCTGCTGCCGATTTCTCTCTTCCCTAAAGTCACAACGGGTATGACCCACCGTTTGAACTACCTCGGGCAACTTGTGAACTGCTTCTTGTTAAGACTTGTGTTTTTCTTGATAAGGCTGCTGTTCTTTTCCCCCTTGAATTAAATACTCCTCCTTCCTTCCCCTTGAACGACTCGGCTGTCTCACCACAACCTGCTTTTGAGTCGACTCAAAACCACAACCTCGCCACTGTGCTGCTCTTGACGTCCCTGATAACTGTATTCTTTTGAGGCGCCTCAAAACGACTGTTGAGGCGCCTCAAAACTCAAAACCACAACCTCGCCACTCTGCTGCTCTTTACGTCCCTGATAACTGTATTCTGGGCTCCTTCCACCAATCCCCCCTCTCCCCCCCGCAGTCCACGAAGTGACAGCCACCATGACTCTGTACGATGCCATCAAGCTGCTGTCCCGTCATAACCTGTGACTGTGCTCCTTACCTCCTCCTCTCCTCCTCATTTCTGCACTACCCTTGCCACCACCCTCCCCCGCCAGTGCACGAGGTGACAGCCAACACGACTCTGTATGATGCCATCAAGCTGCTCTCACGCCACAATCTCACCACTGCGACCTTATTCTCCTCGTGTCTGCACCACTCTTGCGTCCCTCTCCCCCGCCAGTGCACGAGGTGACAGCCAACACGACTCTGTATGATGCCATCAAGCTACTGTCCCGCCACAACCTCACTACTGTACCCGTTAGAAGCATTGCTGGGGAGGCTGCAGGGCGGCGCAGGGGGAGGGGTGGAGCAACGGACGTCGAAATGACAGAATCAGAGCAACAGGCTGAGGGAGGGGAGGGAGGAGAAGGCGAGGGAGCAACAGGGGTGGTGGAAGAGCCGGCAGAGGGAGAAGGAGAGATGGAGGAGGAAGTTGAGTTGGAGGAAGAATGGGAGCCGCAGTATCTAGGCATGATGGACCTGGCAGGCGCAGTTATCCTCTGGGTCTTCGCCAATGTGAGTGGGCACCTCTGACCTCTGAGTGACATTTGAGTCGACTCACAACGCAGTATCTAGGCATGACGCATTTGGCTGGCGCGGTTATCCTCTGGGCCTTTGCCAATGTACGCATGCCCATATGTCGAAGTTGCTTCTGCAGTTTTCCAAAAGCAATATTTCTACTTGCATAGGCGCATCGACCTCCACTCCTGTCCACACCCGTCCTGAGCTCCATTTTGCTGTTTTGGAATGATGGAACATATGCTTATGTCCTGGCCCTCCTGGCCCTCTGCCCTCTTGCCCTTCTTGCAGCTCGAAGCATCTTCGATTGGATACGCCACAGCGTCAACCCTTGCTGCCTCCCTCGTCGGTTCCTTCGTCGCAGCAGCTGGGGCAGCTGCGCTCGGAGCTTCGGCCGGACCTGCCGCAGCCGCGGCAGCTGCCGGAGCTGCAGCAGGCTCGGCAGCAGCACCAGGCGGGCAGGAAGCAGCAGAGGAAGGCTCTCCTGGAAAGGAGCTGGGATCATACATGGCAACTGCCATGGCTTCTCGCTCTCCCGCTCGCACCGGCCGCTATTTCTTCGAGGAGCTTCTGAAGAATGAGGCGTTTCACACCACGCGGGTCGCGGATCTGGCTGGATCGTTCCGCTGGTCGCCCTTTGTGTATCTCAAGCCGTCCGACACTCTTCTCACGCTCTTCCTCCTCATGTCCAAGTACGCAATTTGCTCTTTGACTTCAATCCTGTATCGCCTTGCAAAACCATCCGCTCTTATTACTACGAAAGCATTACTCACGCTCTTTCTCCCTGCGTCCAAGTGCACTATCCGCTCCTTTAGACTGTGATGTCGCTTGTCAAGATTGGCTCTAATACTGCTCTTCTATTGTGTGTTTCTATTGCTGGTAAATATCGCTACTCACGCTCTTTTCCCTCATGCTCAGGTACGCCATCCGCTCCGTGCCAGTGCTGCCGCCCGGCCCGGAGTCGGCGATATCGACGGTGATCACGCAGTCTGCTGCAGTGGGCTTCCTGTGCGAGTGTGACGGCATGCCCTGGTTCAATTCCATTGCTGACTGCACGCTAGCTGAACTGGGGTTGCCTCTCATGCAGCCTGAAGAGCTTGTCAAGGTACTGTGCGGTTGAAAGGTTGTCTTTCAGGGTGGAACGTGGCTGAGAGGTCATGTATAGGAAGCATGAATTGGCGATCTCAATGGTGATCACGCAGTCTGCAGCAGTGGCCTTCCTGTGCGAGTGTGATGGCATGCCGTGGTTCAACTCCATCGCTTACTGCACGCTGGCTGAGCTGGGGCTGCCGCTGATGCGACCTGAAGAACTGGTCAAGGTACTGTGCGGTTGAGGGGGTTTTCCATGGTCTTTACGGGCAGCGATGGGCTTCCTGTGCGAGTGTGACGGCATGCCGTGGTTCAATTCGATTGCTGATTGCTCTCTGGCTGAGCTGGGACTGCCCCTAACGCAGCCTGAAGAGCTGGTCAAGGTACTGTGCGGTTGAAAGGCTGTTTTTCAGGGTGACACGTGGCTGAAAGGTCATGTAAGGGAAGCAAGGGTTGGCGATATCGACGGTGATCATGCAGTCTGCAGCAATGGGCTTCCTGTGCGAGTGTGACGGCATGCCGTGGTTCGCCTGATGATGGAGCATGACATAGGAGGGATGCCCGTGGTGGCCCTAAGCACCCTCTCTGTTTCACCTTCCCCTCTTCCTTCCTCTTCTCCCGTTCTACAGGTGGAGGACGATGCAGCGATAACAGAGCCCTTCCGGCTGATGATGGAGCATGACTTTGGAGGGGTGCTCGTGGTGGCTAACAGCTTATTTAACCTCTTTCCTTCTTCCGTCCCCCCTTCCCCATCCTTGCAGGTAGAGGATGTTGCAGCAGTGACGGAGCCCTTTCGGCTGATGATGGAGCATGACATAGGAGGAATACCGGTGGTGGGTAAGGGCACCAACCGCCTCTCATATCCTCCCCTTATTCCCTCTTACCCCCACTTCCCCTACTCCAGGTGGAGGACGATGCAGCGGTCACAGAGCCCTTCCGGCTGATGATGGAGCATGACATAGGAGGGGTGCCCGTGGTGGGTAAGGGCTGCAACCGCCTCATTGCCAACATCAGTGCGCGCGACATTCTGCACCTCGTGGGCTCTCCAGAGATTTTCAAGCGCCGCCAGGAACAGTGAGTGGCATCTAGGGAACGTCTCTTATGTGTGGGATTTGAATGCTCTACACTCACTTCGGGCACCAACCGCCTCGCCCAACATCAGTGCGCGGCACATCCAGGACCTTGTGGGCACATTGGAGATCTTCAAAAGACGCCAGGAGAAGTGAGTAGCCTGATACATGCTAATGTGTCAGGATGGCCGAGTTGGTCTAAGGCGCCAGTTTCAGGTACTGGTCCGAAAGGGCGTGGTTTCAAATCCCACTCCTGACAGAGTGGCCCACATCTTTTTCTGATCTTTTTTAGCTTTCTGTCTCCTCCCTTTCAGTACCTGCAGCACCACCATACTCTGTCTCTGCCTTCTCAACAATTGCTGTGTGAGAGCAGAAACCAACGTTAGTGTGCGTGACAGTCTTGCAACTCATGCGCTTGCCAGAAATTTTCAAGCGCCGCCAGGAGTAGTGAGTCGCACGTAACAGCAACCAACGAGCCAATCTCATCAGCAACAGAACAGAAGTGATCTGGCCGGTCATGATGACACCCCCCATCACCTGCTTACCTACCCATTCCCCGGTTGCGCTGCAGGTCCTTCACTGTGCGTGAGTTCATAGCAGCAGCCGATGAGCCCATCTCATCAGCCACAGAAGTGATCTGGCCGGTCATGACGCCTCCCATCACCTGCTCGCCCTCCCATTGTTCCCAATGCTCCCCTTCACCGTTGCCCCCTTGACTAGGTCCTTCACTGTTCGTGATTTCATAGCAGCAGCAAACGAGCCCATCTCATCAGCCACAGAAGTGATCTGGCCGGTCATGACGCCTCCCATCACCTGCTCTACGTCCACCCCCCTTCGCAACGTGCTGCATGCTCTCAACCGCACCCACATTCACCGCATCTACGTCACTGCCTCCCCTTCTCCTGCTGCCGCTGATGCTCCTGCTCCTGCTCCTGCTACTGCTGGGGCTGGGACTGAGTTTCCTACCGGTGCCTCTGCTGGTGGTGCTGCTGCTGGTGCTGCTGCTGGTGCTGGTGCTGCGGGTGGCGCTGGTGCTGTGAGTGCAGGGCAGCAGGAGGTGATAGGAGTGGTGACTCTGCGGGACATCATTGGCAAGTTTGCTGCTGTTCCGGCTGACGTGGCCCTGGCTGCTGGTGCTGACGTGGGTGGGGAGGAGTGAGGAGGGGTGGAGAAAAGTGAGGTCGGGTGGAGAGGAGTGAGGAGGGGTGGAGAGGTTGAGAAGTGGAGGGCAGCAGGAGGTGGTAGGGGTGGTAACTCTGCAGGTCATCATTGGCGAGTTCGCTACTGTTCCGCCTGACGTAGGGGTGGAGTGGGAAGATTCCGGACTGGGGGCAGTGAGCAGAGGAGCTGGTGTGGCTTATGTCGCAGTGCTCTTGCAATATGAGCAGGAGAATCTGGTGTATATTGAGAATATGGAAGGAGAACTGGGGATTGATGCTGTACTGTGATTCACGTGTAAATAAGTAGTCACACTTGGTGTTAGTTGGGTGCCTTGGTAGTTGAGCGCTTGTTGCAAAATCCAGTCTTCTGCTTTTCACCTTGGTGGTTGAAATGTTCCAACTCCGGGGGGGGAAGAGGTACTGTATATGCTAGGGGGTGCTGAATGTAGTGCGCAGCATGCTGCTTCTCAGAGCTCAGAAATTGGTATTTCACTACAAATAGAGAGAAGCGGAGAAAAAAAATGGTTTGGACTTTTGTGCATTAGAATTCAATTGTCATAGTGTACAATTAGAAAGCTATTCTACCCAATATATACAGATGATACGTAACCATAAGAGTGCGAGGCAATATGCCAAGGCAAGCCTCCTTGGGATTCACCGAAGGAACGGAGCGCGTTCCTCCTACGAAAAGCGTAAAGCAAGGCTTGCGTTGGCATCCACCTGACATTCGGCACTCCCCATGGCTCCTTCATTATCGCCAGCCGACGCGCGCGTCGGCGTCACCAAGTTAGGCGGGAGGTCGCAGAAAAATCTCCCGAAAGCAAAAGCGATCAGCAAGTTATCAAAACAATCTTCAGTCAGTCGGTCGCAGAAAAATCTCCCAACAGCTCAAGCGCCCGGCGCAGCAGGAGCGGCAGCAGCAACCCCCGCCGCTTGCGCAATCCCCGCCTTCTCGTGCTGCAGCTGCTGAACGTTCACAACCTTCCGCACCACCCGCCCGCCGTACAAATGCACCAAAATCCACGGGTGCGAAAGCACCTTCGCCGCGCTCGGCCGTCTCCGCGGATCGCGCTGCAGCATGCAGCGAATGAGGCTCCGCGCTTCCGCCGACACTCCCGCCCAGGCGGGACCCGTCATGTCCACTCTCCCCGCGAGCACCGACGCGAAAACCGCGTTGTCGTCAGGACCCCAGAAAGGAGTGCTTCCGCTGAGAAGCACGTAGAGGATGACTCCTAGAGACCACACGTCGGCTTCCACGCCGTATTCCCCGGTGAGGACATCGGGCGCCATGTAAAACGGCGAACCCGCGGCGCCGCTAGCCTTGGCGCCCTCCTCGAGACCAATAGCCAGGCCGAAATCCGCGAGCTTCGCATACGTCACTTCTCGCCCGTTAACGAGTTGCTTCTTGAGGAGGATGTTCTCGGGTTTCAGGTCGCGGTGCATTACGCCGCGCGCGTGGCAAAACGCGACGGCGGAGACGATCTGGCGGAAGAGCAGCGCAGCTTCCTTCTCCGGGATCCTTCCCCGACGAATTACCTCGTCGAATACCTCCCCTCCTTCGCAGTACTCCATGACTATGTGCACCTCCTTATCGTCCTCGAAGACCGCGCGGAGATTAACTACGCCCGGGTGACCCATCACTCGCTGCATTGCCGCGACTTCCCGGCGGACCTCCTCACGGTCTGATTCGCTCACGAGGCGGCTCTTCTGGATCGTCTTGCACGCGAAAATTTCGCCCGTGGCGTTGTCAATGCAGCGGCGAACCGCCCCGAATTCCCCCGATCCCAGCACATCGGCGTCAACTGTGAAATAGTCCTTAATTGAGCCGGTGGGGAAGTCGAAAACGGGGATCGAAGTCGCGGTGGCCATGGTGGAGTCGAGGAGAGAGCTCTTGTGCAGCTTCTGAGGATTCGAGTCGGATGCTGAAGACAGCTCCTGCTCGACGACGTCTAATTTTCTTTTACGGCTCATGTTGAGAGACTGGGATTGGTGCAGCGGCTGAGCCATCTTAAAGCTTAAAAAACGCTGAACGGTGAACCTGCAGTATTCAATGCTTTCAAGCGATTGCTGAAGAGTGGTCGTCACGTCAGGTGGGTAGAGGTTTTACAAACTCTGAATTCGGACTTGAGAAATGGAAGAGTCACCAGCACGCATTTATGCGTGGAGGCAGGAGCGATGGCGGTGGCGAGGTTGCGTGTGGGGTGGCGTGCCGTGCTGGTCTTTGTGACTCGTCGTCTCCCTCACTCCCCCCCCCTGGCGCCCCTTTGGGGCACCAGGTACAGTATGGGGGGAGTGGGGGAGAAGTGGCGGAAAGAGAGCGGGGTGAGATAGCTGCGTCAGCGAGTTGGGTGGGGGAAACGGGGAACGTTCCACTCTTCCAGGGGGAACGTTCCACTGGGAAGGGGAGGTGGTTTCGAACCGCCATGTGGATGCCGTGTGGAGGGGTGCAGTGAATGTTGCCGGGCAGCTGGAGGAATTGTCTCACCACAGTTGAGATTCTTGGCGTGGTTTTGGGCTAGGGGTCGGGGTGTGGGTGGAAGGGGTTTGGGTGAGGAAGGGAGGTGGTTGAGGGGAGATAGGAAGGTGCGCTGGCGAACTGAACAGTCCATCCCTCCCCTCCCCCCACCGCCAAGCCTCATCCGTAAGTGTGTGCTTGACGGAACTTGTGTGTCGGTACGGAAAAAGTCACCTTGCCCCGAAAATGAACGCGCACACGAAGAGACTGGCTATTGGCTGGTGATGCTTTGCCAGCTGGTGGTGCTAGCTGGCGCAGTTCGGGAAAGCTTTGCGGAGATGACGGGCAAGTGGGCACGAGGTAGTTTCTAGGAATTTCGTCCTCCCTCGAGAACCCTCCGCCAAGAACGGCGTAGAAGGGTCGCGAGACGAGTCGCATGCTGCCTCACGAACATGGCGATGCCATGTGCTGGGTCGGTTACGTCGCAGGACGAATCGCAGGGGGGGATTTTGGGTTTGACGAGCTGTCTGGAAAGTTGGTGAGACTTCCGCTCCATTTCCAGCGAACTCTGGTTGGGTTCAACTATAGCCAGCTATTGGTGCAAGCACAAAGGCATGCGTCACAGCGGCTCGCTGTTTGGTCTCCGGATTTGTTCGCACAATCCGGTAACCCAATCCTGCATGCGACGTCGACGTGTCACTGTCGTCAATCCTTTTTACGAATGCGACGTCACCGCCAGCTCTGTCAAAGCCTTTCCGCGGAAGTCTTCGTCACTACACGATCCCTCAGTCTTTCGTCACCTCAGTCTTGTCAGCGTCCTCAGCTTGCCCCCTCTTGCTGAACAAAAAGCACCCAAAGATTCTTCAAGCTTAAAAAATTGCCCCCTCCAATCGTTGACCTCCATTATCTGCCCCTGGAAACCTAATCCCCTCAGAAGATAAAATTCCCCTTGATACGGGCAACATCGCCAACTCGAAGTAATCAAATCATCTCAATGCTGTAGGTGGAGATCTGGCACGAATGTATCTCTCTCAACCAAAGGGAATGGGTTCCTAAGGGGGGATAGAACAAAAAAATCATCCTTTCCGCTTCCAATTTCACCACAAACATTGCTCCTCCACCTTTCTGATTGGTGGTTATTGAAACTGTAGGTTAGCAGGACTGATGGTGTACCTGCTGCGGATTCCCTGGGCAAAGAAGGCTGCCCCGCAAAACAGCCCTGTCATAATCCAGATTCTCTTTACAACTCATCAAGCCACCCGCACACGTATCCAGCAGAGACTTCAACAGGCAACCACCAATGACACTAGCTTTTATGCCGAAAATTTGCCTGGATTCACGTAGTCTTCCCTCCCCAGCCAGCCCCAACTCACGCTTGACTTGAACTTGTCGGCAGCACGGGAGGAAATGACGAACCGCCCCGGTTTCGGATTTCCGATTCCTTTGGGCAGTGGCTTTGACACCGCCTCGCTTTTCCGCTCGCGTCCGATTCCTTGGGGCAGCTGATTTCGACATTTCCAGTTTCCGGTGACCATAAAAATTATTAAGAGACCTGGTATTAGTCTAGTGGCCAGTGAAAAAAATTAAACCCCTCTCGGAGGGCTGGCCATTAGGGAGGCATCAACCCTAAACACCTTGCCTCATGGTGTTTAGGGTTGATGCCTCCCTGACGGCGTCCCCCCCGTGAGGGGTTTATATTTTTTGTCCCATTAAATAAAACAAAGTTGTAGTTTCTGGACTCCAAATGGGAAAATAGCGTAATTTACTGACCGAAGGTATCGGACGCGAGCGCGAAGCGAGGCGCTGTCAAAACCACTGCCCAAAGGAATCGGAAACCCGAAACCAGGGCGCTCCGTCATTCCCTCGCAGCACGGTGATGTATGTACACAAGATGCCCAACCCCTGCACGCAAAGTTTTCTTTACATTCCAGAAACCTTGCACGCTAAGGTTTTTTTCCGAGCAGTTGCACCCACGTTACAAGCACGTCGACCAATACGAACCACAGAAACTGAAGAGACCGAAGTCAAACAGTCAACGGTGAGTTACAAAATTTTGTTATAAGCCCTTTTTGCCCGACGCGAATTGACGAAACCTCCACGAAATGCAAGAATCACTTAAGAGCCCCCTTCACAAGGCAACCTTGGGTTAGTCAAACGGGCATCGTGTGTACACTACTGCAAGAATCAAGATGGCAGCAAGAAGTGGAAGCCGGGCAGGGAAAAACAAATCGGAGCTTGTTCATCCTTCTTGCTCCGCCCCTCCAACCGGCATCCCGCGTGTCAGACTTTCTCTCTGACACTTGCGTCAGTGTCTCGTCTCGTCTCACCCACCGCCTTGTCCGTGTTCGCGTTTGGGGGCGGGCGGGTTGTTCCCTCGCCCTCTCCCTCGTGGTCAGTGGTCGGCACTTCTGGTGGTACAGACTATCCCCCGTTATTGTCAGTCTAACCGCCATAGTCACACGGTGCATCGTCGCCTCACATCTGACACCACCGTCAGTCGTTCTCGTTTCCCTCCAGTCCCGTTAGGTTGGGAGATTGACCTAGGATCTTTTCTTGTCCCGCTCCCACCGCTAGTCTAGATATTTAGGACCATTCCACGTCGATGGACGGCAAGGTCCTCGCTTTGCATCATTCTTTGGGCGAGGCCTTTTCTGACAATCTAGGTTTCCGTCCGTTCTGGTCTCTGCTTGTTCCGTACAGTACTTCCTCTCCACTTTGGAGGCTTGGACCCGACTCGACCCTCCCCCAGCTTGGCCAGGACAGCATTGTTTTGGGAAAGTTCGTCTCGTCTCTCTTCACCCAAGCAGAACGGAAATGATAGTTCTGAAAATATCATTCCAAATCTCCTCAAAATATGACACCTAGCACAAAACTCGTAGCGGAGCATACACTGAGGGGATATACAGTGGGACTAATAACCTTTGTTTCAATCCGAGGCAACTATAATGTTCTTTGTATAATTGGATTACTTGATATATGAGAGAAGCAGAGTGTTAGCTTGATGGACAATAAATGTTCCAGCACGGACCGTCATCCCTGCCACGACTTTCAGCTTAGATTGTTTCATGCAATTGAAACAGGAGCTGGAGCATCTTCCGGCAATCCCAAGGGCGCGTTCTCACAGCACGAGTTATCAACACGGTACAACTCCCACTCCTTGATCCCGCACCGATCCAGCGCTGCTTTCAGCCGAACCGCATGCTCAGGTCCGGGCCACTCCCCGTCCTTGGACACAAGCACAGCTCCGGTGTACGACTGCCCTGCCGCCCGGGCGGCACCACTGTAGTAAAACAAGGCCCATTGGAAATCGTCTGTTACGTCCACTATGCGCCAGAATTCCTCGGAGATCACCCCGTTATCGAGCACTGTCAAGGTAAAGGTTCCGGGAACCTTTCCGCGCCGCACGCGGTAGTGGCGGCGGCGCCATAGTGACCGTCCATCAAGAGTGCGGATCTGCATGGGTGAAGCGAGGAGAGGCGGGGTGAGGGAAGGGAGTGGAAGGGAGATACAGGTGTGTGAAGCATGTGTGTGAAGCATGTGTGTGAAGTGAAGCATGTGTGTGTATGCGGGATTTCTGTCGGCGCCATAGTGACCGTCCATCAAGGGTACGCATGTGCATTGGTGGGGTGAGGAGAGACGAGGAGGGTTGGGATGAACTGAGGAAAAGGGTACATGTGTGTGGTGCGCGGCCGTGTCAAATGCGTGACAGTGGCCGTAAAAAAGGTGCGGATCCGCACAGAAGCATGACCGTGTGCAGTGAGAGTGAGGGGGGATGAGTGTGGAGGAATGGGGTAAAGGTGGGTGTAGAGGTGGAGGTAGAGTAGGGTGTGGGGGGGGGGTGGGGGGTGAGGGGGGAGAGGGTGACGGTGGGGGTGTGCACTGAAGGAGGGATGGAGGAATGGCATCTAGAAACAGCCTGTGGAGTGGAGTGGAGTGGACGGTAGGTTTGGGCCATGATACAACTTAAGAGGAGGGTGCAAGCGTGCGAGAAAAGGTGGAGAAACCGTACCGTGAAAACAGGGTCGTACCACACCGAGCCTCGCGCCTTGCCTCGGTAAAAAATTTGGAACTGGCATGGGAACTGGTCGTACGCAGCATTCTGCCCGGCCACCACCCGCCAGCTCCAGGGCAACTGCCCGAGCCACCCGACGAAAATATCTTCTGCCCGCTCGTGCGTGACGGGCTGCCCGCGAAGGTGTGTGAGGGGGAGCACGGTGGGGCGATCACGGATTTCGGCTGTCATTCCGAGGCAGTTGTGCTTCTGCAGCACGCAGAGAGAGAAGGCTTCGAACTTGGGAGTCTCGTAGGAGACGATGCAGCGATAGCTGCACACCTGGCGGTGGCGCAAAGGAATGGGGATGGGAAGACAGGACGAGGCCGGGGAAGACGTGGACAGAGGTGAAGGGGAACATTAACCGGTCATGCCGAGGCAGTTGTGCTACGCAGAGAGAGAAGGCTTCGAACTTGGGGGTCTCGTCTCGTAGGAGACAATGCAGCGATAGCTGCACACCTGGTGGTGGCGGAAAGGGGGGTGGGGAAGACGTAGGGGGTAACGTGGCTGGGGAGATTCGGAAAGAATTTAGGGGTTTTGTTTGACCATGCAGCGATAGCTGCACACCTGGTGGTGGGAGAGGGGAGAAGGGGGGGAGGGTGGGGAGGCAGAGGGTGGGGAAGCAGGGGGAACACGGTGGGGCAGTCGCGGATCTCTGCTGTCATGGCGAGGCAGTTGTGCTTTTGGAGAACGAGTTGACTTTTGAGTCGACTCAAAAGTCAACAGGGGGAGCACGGTGGGGCGGTCGCGGATCTCGGCTGTCATGGCGAGGAAGTTGTGCTTCTGTAGAACGCAGAGAGAAGGCTTCAAACTTGGGAGTCTCATAAGAGACAATGCAGCGGTAGCTGCACACCTGGTGGGATGAGATGCAGGAGAAGAAAGGGGTAGGGGGTTAAGTATTTGGAGAGATTTGGGAAGAACTTGGGGGTCTCGTAGGAGACAATGCAGCGATAGCTGCACACCTGGTGCGGACAGGGAGAAAAGAAGGTGGAAGGGGAGATGCAGAGGGCGGGAAAGGGGGGAGACAGATGGAGGTGAGGGGAAGAGCAACCGGTCATGCAGAATCTGTCTCTAGAGAATCCTAAAAAACCAGAAGCAGCGGGTCATGTCAAGGCAGTTGTAATTCTGCAGCGCGCAGCAACGCAGTGCTCCTGGTCAGTGGGTCTGCACTAATTCAAGCAGTAGATAGCCGTGTGCCACTGCTCCTGCATTAGGCACTTGAAAATCTCAAGGGGTGGGCGACAGGAGGGGGAAGGTTGCTCACCTGGTCCGTGGGTCCACACTCGTTGAGGCAGTTGATGGCAGTGCGGCACTGCTCGTCCAGGAAGCACTAGAGAATCACGGGCCCGCAGTTGCCAACCATGCACTGCAGAGAGGACGAGCCTGCTGCTATCCGCCATGCATGCACAGCAGCAATAGCAGAGGGTTCTCACCTGGTCGGTGGGTCCGCATTCGTTCAAACAGTTGATGGCAGTGCGGCACTGCTCGTCCAAGAAGCACTCCAGTATGATGGGGCCGCAGTTGGCCACCATGCACTGCAGAGAGGACGGAAGAAGGGTGCTCCCTTCTCTTCTCACACACCTGGTCTGTGGGTCCGCACTCATTCAAGCAGTTGATAGCCGTGCGGCACTGCTCGTCCAGAAAGCACTCCAGGATGATGGGGCCGCAGTTGCCCACCATGCACTGCAGAGAGGACGAGTCGGCCGCCCGCAGGTTGCGCAGCGCTGGCACGTCAACGATGTAGGCGTTGACGAGAGCGAGGATCACGAACCAGATGTCGTCGGCACTGCGACGCTCCCAGCAGGATTCGACCAGGGTGTAGGTCTGATGGCCGAAGGGGCGGGGGACAGGACGGGTGACAGAGGAAAGGGGAAAGAGGGAATGGGGGACGGGGATGGGGGATGGAGGACGGAGGACAGGGGTGGTTGAGGAGATGCGAGAGAAGGAGGGGCGGGAATGGCTGGTTGCACGTGCAGGCACGTGGGGGCAATGTAGACGTAGACGAAAGCCAGCATCACGAATCCTGGATGTGACTATGTATGGCATACCATGCATGCAACGTAACGCGGATGTCATTACCATGATGTCATTACCATGATGTCATTACCATGACGTCAAGACACAAGACTAGCGCCGCACTCACCTGAAAAGCTTTGGCCCCCTCCTTCCACCATCCCCATTTAGCGGCGAGCTTCTGGGGCAGGTTTAACTTTTCCGGGTTCAGCCCGCCCAGCGAGGTGAGCTCAGAGAGCGACACGTGGCAGTCGAAGGCCATCCGGGCAGGAGCAGCTGAAAAAATGGGGACGAGCTGGGCGGCGGACTCGGCACTGTTCACGGCGACAGCCAATAGGAGATCGGCTTGCTGGGCGGCAGAGAGGAAGAGGGAGTGGGAGGAGGAGGAGGGGGAGAGGGAGGAGGAGGAGAAGACGAGAAGCTGCACGGAAGGTTCCACCCAGTTGACTCTACGAGCCTGGGAAAGAGGGAGAATGGAAGAGGGGACATTCAGTGATTCTAAAAAGAGAGAAGAGGAACGGAGGATCGGGTTTTAGAATGGAATACGGATAATGCCCTGTATCCGTATCCGTGCAGGCGTGTTGAGGGAGAGGTGTAATCTGGGGGGATGAAGATAATGCCCATCAGCTTGAGGGAGAGGCGTAATGATGAGATTACGCCATGGGTGAATCAACAGGGGATGCACGCACGCCTAGTGATGGCAGTGGTGGTGGTGAGGGCCAATACATCCCAATTAAGGCTGAAGTGTCCCCGCTACATAAACCTGTAACGGGCTTCAAAATATATGTTTTATTTCTTCTATTTTTTCGTATGAAAATCTCCTTATGTTCCGTCCACTCCCACACGTGTGTAACAGAGACAGTTACAGACATAAATATAATTCCCTCCCATCACTCGCTCGTTACGGTTGTTACCGGAATGCGAGATGCAAGATCTCACTATCAATTTTATTTCAGTCGTGACCAAACGGGATATCACTGTTGGAGCGTCACAAGACACCCTTTACTCACCATTTGTCGTATCACTTCGTCCCACGTGGCACCGCCGTACGGGCTCACCACGTCAGCACCCACCACTGCCACCACCCGTGCCCCAGTGTCCGCAGAAAACTGCGTCTCGTCGCCAGTCATGCCTCCCAGCACCTCTGCGACGTCGCTTGGAGCTTGTGCGACGTCGCCGGCACCATCTGAACCTTGGGCGACAGCTCGAAGAAGTGACGGAGCGCGAAGCGAAACAGAATTGCTATCCTTGCAGCGGCGCGAACGTGTGACGTGGCAAGGCTGACGAGTCACATGATGCCGTTGGATGAAAGACTGACGAGGTGCTACTACAGAAGGGTGCAATGTCGGGAGAAAGCAGGAGTTCAACGAAGAGTGCGGAACAAGGGGATGAAGCTGACGTGATATGATTGTTCCGGCTGTTCTTGACATACAAGAAGCAGCGAGGTTGAGACTCGTACTCATTGCGCTTAGTCTTGCGAGGTGCACGCAGCGACGGATTTCTGAGTCTTACCGAAATCAGAGAACGAGTAACGAAGTACAATAAGATCAAGGGTAGGAAGGCGAAATCAGCGGAATAACGCGGCACTACTACCGTTGTTTCACGCGGAAACTTGAAATTCGGCTGACATAGATAATTGAAGCCAAATCCAGCATGAAATTGTGTAAAATTGGCTGGGAATTTCGAGAAATGCCTGACGGAAACGAGGTGGTGTTGCGCGGGGCTAGAGGCAGGCAAAATCAAGGTGAGGGCTGTCTGCTTGAACGGTATTTACCATCTGTACCGTTTTGTCCTGCCATTGTAACACACAAAATCAGACTGTACCGGTTTATCCGTAAGGAATGGGAGGCAGAATTTTCAAGGCGTCGCGGTGAATTGTGCTTCCGCTCTGCACACTTGTGCCTGATTGGCTGGGGCTGGTTATGCTGGCCAGACCCTGTTGCGTCAGCAAGCAAAATATCACGCCACCACGACTTGGAAAAGAGCTCCAGCTTACGTGGACCATGGTGCTTTTCATATGGTGCTGGATCAAGCATCAATAGCGGGTAAAAATGAAAAGGTACAGTTATGGCATCTAAATTATTTCAGATGCATCCCACACACCCAGATCTTGAGCTTTCACAAATTGCCAAAAATTAGTCCTGCACTAGTGTTTTCTCTCATTCCAGAAGCTTTGTAAAAAGCTTGTCTACCTACTCACTACTCCACGCTCATAAACAAATAGCACTATTCCTCTGAGCCATCGGCAATTATAAGGTGAGCTGATCCGGGTTCTCCACAATCTTGGCAAAAGTTTGGAGGAACTCTGCCAGATCAGCGCCATAAATGATCCGATGGTCCGCCGTGACATTCACCTGCGCAATACAGAGGGAGGTATTGGACTAGCTTAGTGGGCAGTGTGTAATGAATGCACTTGTCACACTAAAAAAAGCAGTCAAATTCACATTTAAGAATGCAATCCACCCTACCCAACTGCTCCGCACACTCCCAACCTCACAAACTAGCCCATGCAGCCCAATTGACTGACCTGCATCTGCCTCTTGATGCCGAAGCTGCCATCCTCTTCTGCCACCATTGTTGGGATGGACGATCCAACGGCCATGATCGCACCCTGCATAGATATTGATTTTGATACACATGTATTACATTCTTTAAGATGATGAGAATCTGACGGAGTGAGGAGAAAAAGAGTCTACATCCTCCCACATTGAGGTAACCTGTCCTGTTGGCTCAACAATTATTGCAGGTACCTAAAACCTCCCCCATTCCCCATTCTCCCATTCCCACATTGCCCTATTCCCACACACTTTCACATCCCCCCGCACACAGACCACATGACCAGCTCCGACTCACCTGTCCGATGGGGAGGATGGCGTCAGATTAGATCCACTCCAAGCATTACTTGAGTCGACAAAAAAAAATCCCACATCCTCTCACCTCCACCCACACGGTCCACACAGTCCGCACGGTCAGCACTGTCTCACCTTCACCCACATAAGGCGACCCATTCAACAATGTCTCACTCACCTGACCAATTGGCAGGATGGCGTCAAACCGATCCACTCCAAACATGCCCAGGTTGGACAGAGTGAAAGTTCCTGGAAGGAGAGACCAACGGAATATGGAGGCGGCGTATGAGAGAAGCACACTGACGGGTGGATTTGAACAAGAGATCTATAACAAGGCCAAAGCTACAATGAAGCACTCCACTTCATGCCTCTCACCTAGGCCTTTCTCCTTCCTGCCCTCCCCCCTCCTTCCATCCCCCCTCCATCCCCTTTTCCTGCTTCCCTTCCCACTCCTTCATTCTGCCCTCCTGCAGTTAATTTCTCCCCACCTTCCCCACCCCTAATCATGTCCTCATCTCACCTCCGCTGTAGTCGCCAGGGCTCAGGGCCTTCCTCCGTGCCTTGCCCACCAGCTCCTTCCACTGCCCTGACATCGTGAACAGGTCCGTCTGGGAGAGAAAGGAGGGGTGAAGTGTGGTGCAGTGGGGTAAGGGTGCTGTGTGAGAAGCTGTGTGCTGCCATGCCTTGCCCACCAGCTCCTTCCACTGCCCTGACATCGTGAACAGGTCCGTCTGGAACAGGGGTTAAGGGGGAGAAGAGAGGGGTGGAGAGCGGTGGAGTGCGGTAAGGGAGCATTGTAGATAACTGTGTGTTGAAGTGCCTTGCCCACCAGCTCCTTCCACTGCCCTGACATCGTGAACAGGTCCGTCTGGGATGGATAGAGAGAAAAGAGGGCAAGATGGGAAAGACGGGGAGTGGGGTGGAGTGGGGATTGCGTGTGACAAATGCCTTCCTCCGTGCCTTGCCCACCAGCTCCTTCCACTGGCCTGACATTGTGAACAGGTCCGTCTGGGATGATGAAGAGGGGTACGGAGGAGAAAAGAGGGATGGAGTGCGGTGAGGTGGGATGGGGTAATGTGTTACGAAATGCATTCCTCCTCGTCCCATCCCTGCATGCTCCATGTTGAACGGACTCAAAAGAGCCATCTCAACACCGTTCACTCGAACGTTCTCCCCGCATCTCGTCATTCCTTCCCAAATTATCCCGTAGACTCTTCCTACCTGGTCCGCGTTCTTCAGCACGAAGGTGATGAGGCCCCCGTCCATGGCCACAGCCACCGCCACGTTCACGCTCTCGTTGTAGTGGAAGCTCTTCCCGTCCTTGCCCGTCCTTGCACGTCGCTCAACCTCTGGCCACTCATGCCTCACCTCATCACACCATACCTGGTCCGCGTTCTTGAGAACCGGGGTGATGAGCCCGCCATCCATGGCCACGGCCACAGCCACGTTGACACTCTCGTTGTAGTGGAAGCTCTTCCCGTCCTTGCACGCAGCGTTCACGATGGGGTGCCGAGCCAGCGCCATGCCCGCTGCCTTGGCGAGCAGAGCTGTCATGGTCACTCCCTTGTCCTTCACCTGTGGGTGATGGAGCAGTGAGAGGGGGAAAGGGGGAAGAGAGCAGTGAAGGGAGGAGGGCAGAGAGAGGGGGGGAGGAAATGGAGCTCCAAACGCTAGCCACTGGCACGTCACACCCAACACAAGCGCAGACGGACTCACCCGCTTGTAGAGCGCGTCGAGGGCGTCGGTGGTAACGGTGTAACCGACGCGGAAGGTGGGCACAACGAGCGTGGCCTCCATGTTCCTCGCCACCGCCCCCTGCATCGCCGTGAACGCCACCACTGACGCCCCCGCTGGCAGCGGCGCTGCCGCCGCTGCAGGCGCAGCAGCAGCACGAGCGGCAGGAGCAGGAGCGGCGGCAGCGGGAGCAGGAGCGGCGATGGTGGGAGCAGGCGCCGTTGCAATGCCTGCTGCTTTTTTAACGTCGTCGGGGATGATCCGGCCATAGGGACCTGAGCCCGCTACCTTGGCTAGGTCAATCTGATGGAAAGGAGGGGCGGAAGGGAGTGGAAGAGAGGGATTGACAAAGGGGGACAAGAAGAGGAATATGCAGCCACGTGAACCTGATGCAGAGGGGCTAGGAGTCGGGAAAAAGAAGTGGGAAGCAGAGGAGGTACAGATGGTGGTGGGGCAAGGAGGTGATGTATGTCAGTCTGGTGGACGTTGCAACTGCGTTGGTGTGATCCTTGTGTATGCATTGTACCATACCATGTACTCGCATCGGAACGTACCTTCCATTCCACCATACCTTGTGCTTCTTCGCCAGCTTCTTTGCCTCGGGCGTCGCAACCACCTTCCCAGGGGTGGCAGGTGCGGCAGGCGCAGGGGGCGGGGGAGGAGGGGCGGCAGCGGCAGCAGGCGCAGGAGCAGCGGGCGCAGCAGGTGTAGAGCATTACATCATACCTTGTGCTTCTTCGCCAGCTTCTTTGCTTCAGGCGTCGCAACCACCTTCCCAGGGGTGGCAGGCGCGGCAGGCGCAGGGGGCGTTTTGGGTCGACACATAACATACTTAGTATGATGCATTCCACCATACCTTGTGCTTCTTCGCCAGCTTCTTTGCCTCGGGCGTCGCAACGATCTTCCCAGGGGTAGCAGGTGCGGCAGGCGCAGGGGGCGGGGGAGGGGGGGCAGCAGCGGCAGCAGGCGCAGGAGCAGCGGGCGCAGCTGCAGCAGGAGCAGCAGCAGCGGCGCCGTCAGAAGAGCCGAGCTTGGCGGCCTTCTTCTTGGCGTCCTCCAGATCGTCCTCGCTCTCTGCCAGGATGGCGATGGCTGCACCCACAGGCGCCACCTGCAGCAGTAGGAAACGGTACGAAGGGGTTGGAAACAGTTGGACGGTGTAGGATTATAAGAGTTGAGGCGCCTTACAAGAATTGGCGGCCTTCTTCTTAGCGACCTCCATACCGCCCTCCACCTCTGCCAGAACGGCAATTGGCCGCCTCATCCTCGTTCTCTATGCCGTCATACAACCCCTCCACGTCCATGCCCGCCTCGAACCCCCCACTAACCCCTCGCTACACTACTCGCTGCTAATCCCTTGGACCATTCCCCTCTTACGATCGCATACTTCGCCCTCCCCCACGAGGATGGTGGCGATGATGCCATCGTAGAACGTTTCCACGTCCATGGCCTCTTAACCCCGCAACGGTCCATTCCCTCTCACAGCAGCTCACCCATCCCTTGCTTTCACGATGATTCCATTCCTCACCTCGCCCTCGCCGACAAGGATGGTGGCGATGATACCGTCGTAGAACGTCTCCACGTCCATGTCCGCCTTGACCCTCGCTAACCCCCATTCCCCCTCACTGCACGTCAGACAACTCTCGCACCATTCCCTCTCACTGCGACATACCTCGCCCTCCCCGACGAGGATGGTGGCGATGATACCATCGTAGAACGTCTCCACGTCCATGTCCGCCTTGTCCGACTCCACCACCACCACCGACTCGCCCTTGCTCACGCTCTCGCCCTCGCTGTGACATAGGGACGACAAATGGTGGGAGAAAGAGATAGCAGGGGAAGGGGTCGAGAGTTGTTTGTCAGCTGTCCGACGATCTTTCTTTCTGCCATGGTGGAGTTGAGCGCGGGTACGAAAATCTAGCGCACCTTGGCCTTCGTCACCAGCTAGTTGATGTATGGGAATTCTCAAAAACAAAGCACTCACCTCTTGGACCACGCGACGATCTTGCCCTCCGTCATGGTGGAGCGGAGCCACCTTGGCCTACGTCACCAGACTAGATGGTTCAAGAGTATTTGGGAAAAAAAAAACAAAAAAAAGCAATTACCCCTTGGACCACGCGACGATCTTCCCCTCCGTCATGGTGGAGCTGAGAGCGGGCATGAAGATCTCGCGCACCTTCGCCTCCGTCACCAGCCGCGACACCCGCTGGCGCGGCAACGGCGCTGACGTCACAAGGCGGTGAGACACGGTGCCTGTTGAATGCGGTTGAAAGGGATGGAAGGGTGGCACAAAAGCGGTGACACACGCTACCTGCTGGTGGCTATTGAAAGTTCAGAAAGGGCGTCAGGCATATATGATGGACATGAGAATCTCACCGAGACCACGGCATTAGGGTCCATAAATGGTCAACGCACCGGGACTCTTCAAGCTATAAACACGTACCACGCCATCCCTCGCTCCCATCCTTCCCTTTCCCCTTTCAATCTCCGATGCTCATTCTAACCATCTCGAAACGAAAATCCGTCTTCAGACCAGTGGGATGTACAATACTGGTCGAGACGCACATTCAGGGGGAGGTGAACCCAAAACCCGCGTGGTGATATGAAACCTAACTCTGTAAGTGAATTGAATTCGACAACCTAACCTCTAATGTTGCCGAAACGGTCTACAAATAAACTCTAGTCACTGCGACCATAAGTAGCGTCTGGGACAGTCAACTATTCGCCGCGTCTAATCAAGTTTCCCTGGTCAGGGACCCCTTCGCAATCCTTACAGACTTTCCAACCGCTTGCATTTAGACGAACATTGCAGCTCAAGTCTGACAGGATAACGTCTCTTAATCGCACCTGAAGAGCGAAGAAAGCCATTAGAAGCAATCAATGACTTCTCCATTGCTCTCAGTGACATCCCGCTGGTACACGCCATGGCGACGACTGTGAGAGAGTATCACCAAGTATGATTCAAGCGCTCCACCTGCAGCCTTCACGTGACCTCTACAATGGGTAGATGGCCACTAGGATGGCAGATACTAAGATGGCGTGCTAAGCACTGACTGATGAGGCGATCAGCAGAAAGTGCTGTTATGCTGTGAGCACTGGTTTTCCCTTGAAGTTTCTCGAGATTGCCGTCAACCTTTCTGACCAGTTTCCCCGCGCCAGAGATTCCTGGGTGGATCCTAGGGAAACTCAGGGCGACGTCAAATTCTGTACGCTCAGCTTCGTTTGGTTACGGTGCAAAGCGGTAAAACTCGAATACCGCTTCCCACCGTGTGGAACCATACAAAAACTGCAAATGTGTGAGAAATGTAGAACCTGACGTCGTCCTCACTCCTCATTCCCGATCTGGTTTCATGCGCGGAAGTGGGGGACGCGTAGGAGGAAGTGCATTCAGGTCAGGAGTGCGCGGAGAGGTTGTGCAGGATTGGTGCGAATGAACCTTTGGGGTGCTGCGGGGGGAATGGGACGCCTGTCAGGATTGTGGGTGGATGGATCGGAGAGCAAAAGAGGTAACCGCCACACACGTCCACGTCAGGAAACAGTCATCAACTATCGGACAACCCTCCACATCAGACACCACGCGGCAGTTCTTATCACTGCCATTGGAAGAGACGCATCTGTCGCCACAAAATCGACCCGCAATCTCTCATGCACCTAGAGTGTTGCGGTGACACCATATAAAGCAAAGATGCTTTTTATAGAGGACAACTACTAGCCTCACTATGATAATCCTTGAGCCACTTAGCACAGGTAAGTACTGATTAGCAGGGCTCTCGCTAGGATTCTGGCCTGTCTGACAGTATCTGTAAAAAAAAAAAAATCGTCTTACGCTCAGATTGGCCTTTTTTTTGTCTGACCTCTAAGATGAAACATTAATACCAGTCTGAAAAAACAGATGAACTATTCTACGGGGCCTACGCGGTGCGGGGTTTGGGCGGGGACCACAGTTACGTGCATCCGGGATGCATACAGGTCACACCCCATTGCACAAAATGACGGTGTCGATGCCTCCTGGGTGTGGCTGGCATCGGCGCCTACACCCACGCAGCGACAAAGTGCTGGCAGCGTTGCACATACGTAGTTAGCTGCTGCCAGCGGTGCTGTTTCCTCCAGCGCGGATGCTACGGGACCGAGACATTCATTGCGCATGCATGTATACAGGCTGGCAGATACCCTAACTAGTGGCCCTATGGACAAGTGGGCAGAAATGTCGGTTTCAGACGGAATCGTACTCGTTATCTGGTGTCTAAGATGAAGCATAGTATGCGATCTGAAAATGTATCTGAAGTAAAATCATTTGTCTTACTGATCATCTGAAGTAAAATCATTTGTCTTACAGATCATCTGAAATAAGAAAATTAAGTCTGAAACGCAGACCATCAGACCAAATTGGTCTGCTAACGAGAGCCCTGCTGATTAGATTGCAGTTAACAATTAAATTCATCACTAATACTATTAAATGCATGAGAACGTATAATCTGCGGTTTAGAATATAGGATTGTATCGTACAGAATAGGATTGATGAATAGGGTATGCATGATCAATTTTGGGGGATATAAAGTGAAATATGGACATTTTTAACCACTTTTCTTCCCTTGAACCTACTAATGCTTAGCTAGGCCACCTGATCCGACAGAAATTTAGAAAGATCATAGTTGTAAGATGCAAGTTATTCAGTAACAGCCCATACCAGAGCTTGTGGTGTAAGCAAGAGACCTTTTATCCGAACTCTATCCACAAACACCAGGCAGGCCAAACAATAATGGGTGAGGTGAGGAGACAGCTTTGGGAGTGTTCAGGCTCGGAAATTAGTCTTGCGGAAACTCAGCTTCACCTACCTGCGCTTTGTGACGTGACGTCATTGCTCGGGCCGAGAGGCAGCCTTTCAAGCGCCATTTACACTACACGTACCAGTGGTAGCGGCAGAGTCGGATGTTGTGCACTTAGCAGAGTTTTTTCCATCCCACCGCTCCCACCGCTTCACGACATCACTAAGCCGAATCATTAGTATCGTGAACCCTCTTTCAGGAATCAGGTACTAATGAACCCCCTTTTCGGAATCATGGGTTTCCAGCTAGTATGCGGCGGTGGTGTGGTGTGCCAAGCGCCAGAGGGTCTGACGGGTGAAGGGCGTGTTTGGCTTGATTCCGATGGCCAAAGTTTATGGATGCCCAAAAATCTCAGTCGTCATTGTACAACTCCCGATAAGTCATGTCGTGCAATTTTCGTGTGTCACTCACCTCATAGTGCCTGTCTACAGACGCAACTGAAATGGGCCTCAGGTGTCGCGGGCACTTGGTACATCGTGGTGTCAGGAGTCAAGACCCCAAAACATCACGAACCAGCCAACCACGTTGCGACGCAATCAAACGGCGGCCGTAAACCAGTGCCCGAACGAGCCGCTCCTGATTCCAGCCACCCGTCGGGCTTCCCGCAAATTACCGAGCTTCGAGTCCAAGTTCGTGGGCGACGTTCCCTCCCAAGCCGGACCACATTGGTTCGCGAAACCCCCAAGGGACTCCCGAGCCATCAACCAGCTGAACCCTGTGCGGAACCCAACCTTCAACGGCTCCTTTTGGATTCACCGAGGCCACCGAACCTGACCCAAGCCTTTCGCTCGGCAAAACGTCGCCCCTTGCCTGATGCCCACCAGCTCCCCCTCCCCTTTCCACCTGTCGTTCCCCTGATTATCACCACAGCTGCACAGATTTTCCATCCACAAAAGCTCCTAGACATCTGTGACTGGTCATGGCTGGCTAACGTCGGACTCGTTAGCCTCTCCAGTTCCCTACCTAAGCAAGAGTCTCGGAGCACTTATCAGGGAGTAGCATCACTCCCAGAATTTAGCCTCCTAGTCAGCAACTAGAGAAACCAACTCTAGTCTTCGATTTTCTATAGCTGTTCTGCGTCGGTAGCCACGTGGGTAGTTCAGTAAAGCCGAAAGAATAGGGCGTCTAAGTACTGGTTCAGGGCCATCACCAGGGATGGCCCTGGATTGGCTCAAAACATCTCTTCCATGGGTAGATAAGGACATTTCCGACAATCACAAATTTGTAAGTCCTTAACGTCTTGCGTGAGGGAATTAGCCTGTTCGTTAAGTGTCGTTGTCATACGTTAGTTGTTAATGGGTTGTGGCAGGAGACCCTGATTTCTGATGAAGCCAATGATGACGAGTTTATAAAGAAAATCATCTTGTCGTTGAGTTCTGCATATAATATCTTCTCCATCCGACCGCCTGGTGTTGTCGTTCTCCATAGTCCAGTCCATGGCTCCTTTATTAGAGAGTCTTTGCATATATTAACTGCCAATTGCTGGATCGTCTTCATCACTGGAAGCCACAACCGATCCTGCATAGGATTCTGCGCTGATGATGTTTCGTTGCACCGTCCGACTCAACTTCTCTCTTTCCCATCTTCCATTTCTGAACGCCTAAGCCCCTTGACCTGGTTTTGTTTTTCAACTACGTACCATTCGTGGGTGATCGCAGGCTGGTCAGGCGATCCGATCTCCAGGTTCTTCCTCGCGAGAAACGGGGTTCACAACGATTTTGACACAAGGAGGAGACGGCTTCGACCTAACCCTCCCAGTCGCTTGGTTGACGGGAAGGCTCGGTCCCCCTTCTCCCCGGGCCGCTTCACCCCCAGTAGTGCCACGCTCGTTATCATCACCCTCGTTATTAGCCGCGACCAATTCGTTAAAGACGTCGCCGTCTCCCGCGGCCACTGCGTCGACGTTAAATCCCACCGGAGTAGCGAACGTCGCTCCAGCAGCTCAACAAGCAGCAGCAGGCTCGGCAACAGGCTCGGCAGCTGCAAGGCCGAAAACAGCTGGTTCGGGAAGGGCGATGGCGTCGCCGCCAGGGACACCCCCGAGCACGTGGAGGGTTCGATCGCGTGAACGAATGGCGGTTAGAAAAGCGAAAGGGCTGATCGGAGCCGCCCATGAGAGCCCCGAGTGGCTGATGGATCTGGGCCGTCGGATGAACATCCCATTCGAGTAAGCTGGGACGTGCATTGGTTCAGAGATTGACGTCGGCACTGCAGTGTTTTTGGTTTAGAAAGCCCATGGTTGCCGTTTCCACGTCCTCAAGGCTTGTTTATTGCTGACAAGTCTGGTAGCGACTGGCGTGTTGTAACCATTGAAGGCGACCTCCCCACTCCCGCTTTCACTCCCCTCCTCCCTCCTCTGATCCTCCCTCTCCTCCCTCTCCCCTCCCCGTTTCTCGTCCCCACTTAACACTTGTTATTCCCCTCATCCGACTCCCTTCTCTCGTTGCAGTCTACTCGCGGTGTTTTCGGACAAGTGCCAGCGACCCACTCCGCGGCACCCCTCCGCTTCCTCCGCGGACTCACTCTCCGCGCCGACGCCGGAGTGCGTGCAAGCGGCGCATCTAATCAACCATACAGTGGAGACCCGCCTCTCGTCCTCCTCCTCGACTGCAGCGGCGGAAGCGGCGGCAATGGCTGAGCGTGGCGCCTCTGCAGCCGCGGCAGCAGCCGATGGCCCGGGTGGCACTAGCGGTCCTGCTCCTGCTGCTGCCGCTTTTGCTGGTGCTGACCCGCCTGTTGCGGCGTCAAGAGGCGTAGGTGTGACTGTATTAGGAAGTGCTGCAACAGGGCTTTCCGCAGGAGGAGGAGGAGCTAACGGGGGAGTAGTCGCGGCGTTATCTAGCTCCACGAAGGAGGACCAGCCAGTTGCTGCCACTGCTGCTAGGACTTATAACCCCGATAGTCGCTCTCCCGCTATTAGAGCTGCCCCGGTCCCAAGACCCGCGGTTAGGGCGCCAGCACCCACACCCGCTGCGACTGAGAGATGGGGATGGGGAAAGAGCAGCAGCAGCAGCAGCAGGGGGTTGTGGGGCAGGATAAATAAGGGCGCGGGCAAGAAAGACGCGAAGAAGAAAGTTCAGAAACTGCCAGAGGCAAGCCGGGCGGAGCGGAACTCGATTATGGACGGAACCCTAGTCCCTGCCAGCCGCGCGGTCAACCCGCCCATGTCCCGCAACCCCATGTTCGAGCCCGTGGGCGCGTCTAAGCGGCGCGCGGCGAGGCAGCCGGGGCTGCGCGTGCCCATGTGCATCAAGACGGTGAAGGTGCAGTTCGGAGATACGCTGGCGGAGATCTCGCAGAAGCACCGCACGTCCATTCGGGACCTGCAGCGGTTGAATAATCTTCGGTCGGACTTCATTGTTGAGGGCGACACGCTCATCGTCTCGTGCTGTGAGTGCTACCTGGGTGCTTTGGGGGGTTGGGGGAGGGGGGGCGAGGAGTGAAGGGGGGAGACGAGGGAAAGGAGGAGGGGAGGCGGGTTTGTGCGTTGTGATAGGCTTGTATACTAGAGTCTCAGGCAGTCTCGTGTGGCGAGGCAGCCGGGGCTGCGCGTGCCGATGTGCATCAAGACGGTGAAGGTGCAGTTCGGAGATACGCTGGCGGAGATTGCGCAGAAGCACCGCACGTCGATTCGGGACCTGCAGAGGTTGAACAACCTTCGGTCGGATTTCATTGTTGAGGGCGACACGCTCATCGTCTCGTGCTGTGAGTGTTGCATTGGGGGGAAAGGGGGGAGAGTGGTGCATTTTTTTAGGCTCCTCAGAGGTTGAACAACCTCCGGTCGGACTTCATTGTTGAGGGCCACACGCTCATCGTCTGATGCTGTGAGTGTTGCGTGGGGGAAAGTGGGGGGAAAGGAGGGACGAGGGATGAAGGGGGAGACGAGGGAAGGGGAGGGGATGGGGTGGAGGGAGGGAGAGGCGGGTAAACTATAGTGTCAGGCAGGACATGCTGGAGAGTCCTCCTGATCCTCTTATATGCCGAGGTTCATCTTGATAGCGTATCTCATCTCCGTATGCCCATACCGTGTACTCCTATGCTCTTTTGTGTCAATATTGGTACATACTTTAGTATTGTATGGCCGTCAGCCGCTCTTCCTTTTCTCCCCTCTCCTCCCTTTCACCCGCTCACGACGTTGCCTTCCATGTTTCCTCTTGCTTCCCCAACCCATGCGTGTCTCAGCCAACCAGCGTCGTTCCGTACCAGAGCTCAGGCCCGGAATCCGCCGGACCTGTCGCCCGCTCTTTTCCCGGCTGTCCCCATCAATGAGTTTGCCGAACCTGCCCGCAAGGCTCGGCGTGGGAGGCCCAGCAGCAGGCGCCATTGTGAAAGCGGGCGCAGCAGCAGGAGGACGAGTCTCTCTGCTAGAAGGTATGCCTCGTGAGCCACAAGTTGCCGACTGTTATGGTTTACACTTTTGGACCAAGCCTATTTGTAGTGACTGTTTGTCTGTATGCGGTGGTCATTTGCTCCCCTTTAGTTCGATGGGCTATGCTGAATCACTTGTGTTTCCTGCGCTGCACCTCCTGCCCGCACCTCCCCTCTCCCTTCCTACACACGTGTAGGCCATGCGAGCATCACTTTCCTATTGCTTCTCTATCTGCGCCAATACCTTGTGGCCCTAGGGTTTGACCTTCACCACCTCCCTTGTCTCCTCAATCCCATCTACTTCCCCTGTATTCCCCTCCTGTTTCCTTCCCCACGTGTCCTACTTCTCACCCACAGGCGAGGCCCCTTCCCAAGTCGATGGACGGCTGGCGCTGTGCTCTTCCTTCCCCTCCACCTCTCCCTCGCTTTCCAATATATGTTGTCTCCCACGTCTCCTTCCCTACGTCTCCCCTCTCCCACGCGCAGGGCGGTGGAGGCGGGGCCCCAAGGGCTTCCCCAAGTCGATGGATGGCTGGCTGCGCTTCAACTGCCCTGTCGTGGACGGGTGCGTTGTGGGAACGGGAAAAAGGGGAGAAGGGGCGGTGGTTGTGGGACTTTTAAACGAGTTCTTCTGGCGGGAGAGAAGGGTGAGGAGTAGAGGGGGGGAGAGGTTTGAAGTGGAGGAGGAGGTTTGTGAAAGGGCTGTGGGAAAGGGCTGTGGTTGACGCCTTGCTCCTCTTTCTTTGTCTCTCCCATTCAACTCTGGCACCCCCTTTTTCCCCCTCCCCTTTTCCCCTCGGCCCTTTTCCCCCACCCTTTCCCCGTCCCATCCCCGCTTTTAACCCTAATCCTCCACCAGCTTCGTCAGCAGTCCCTTTGGCTGGCGATGGGGATCCTTCCACGAGGTACGCCATAATCTCTCTCTCATCTCCACGCCCTCACCCTCACCCTCCACGCTCGATTCACTTTCCTTCCCCCCATCTCCATTTTCCTTCTCCTTGTTCACCTCCCCCATCCATCCCCGCTCCTCGCCCCTCATCCCTCGTTTTCTTAACCTCCTAATCCTCTCTTCACCCAGCTGTTGAAAGAGAGAGCATTGCTCATCTCTCCCTGTCTTTCTGCATCTCCTCTCTTTGAACCTTTTTATCCTCAACTCCCATTCTCAGCCCTCACCCTCACCCCCGTTGCCATCATCCCTAACCCTCATCCTCGCCTCAGCCCTCATCCTCTCCTCAGCCCTCATCCTCGCCTCAGCCCTCATCCTCTCCTCAGCCCTCATCCTCGCCTCAGCCCTCATCCTGCTTTGCAGTGGTGCTACATTCACTTCTTTTGTTCACCCGCCCTCTCTCTCCTCCCTCCCTCCCTCCCTGCGTCCCTCTCTTCCCCCCCCTCACCGCCACCCCTCCCCCACAGGGCGTGGATCTAGCAGCGGAGTTTGGTGCGCCAGTGCTGGCGTCAGACAAGGGCGTGGTGACGTTTGCAGGCTGGAGTGGAGGGTGAGTATGTCTGTGAGAATGGTTGCCTGCGTGCATGTGTGTACGTTTCGAGTCGTCTCTTAGTGGTGACGTTTGCACGCTGGAGTGGAGGGTGAGTGAGTCTGTGTGTCAATGCTTGCATGTGAGTGCGTGTGTGTGTGTGTGCGCGCACGTGCGTGCGTGCGTGTGTGTGTGTGTGTGGGCGGTTGTGGGTGTGGGTATGGGTATGGGTGTGGGTGTGTGAGACAATGCCATCATAACCCTCTCCACCACCTCCCCTCCCTTTCCCATGTTCCATCTGCTCCCATTGCTCCAGGTACGGCAAGCTGGTGACGATAGCACACGACAACGGTTTTACAACTCGTTACGGCCACTGCTGCATCATCAACGCACGGGTTGGCCAGGTGGGTGTGGCTTGGGAGAAGCTTGCATGTGTGTAGCGTGTAGTGTGATCTTATGTGGCATTTTGATTGCATGCTATGATCTGCAGTGAGGTAACGTGGCATGTGATGGCATGTGGTACGGTGCAGTGAGATGGGGTTGCTTTAAGTGGGGTTGTGATGTGGCCTGCTTGCTAGCTCCGAAGTTGCCCCTTCACATCCACCCTCTCACACAGCATTCTCCATCTGTGCATGTACTTGTGTGTACATCTATGTGTGCATGTGTGCATGCATGTGCGTATGAATTTGTGCATGCATGTGTGTGTACATGTGTGTGTGCATGTGTGTATGCATGTGTCTGTGCACTTGTGTGCTGCATGCGCGTTCATGCATGTGTGCATGTGTGTATGCATATGTGTTACATGGCATGGCCACTGCAGCGAGTGGCAAGGGGGCAGCAGGTGGCATGTGTGGGAGCAACCGGTCGAGCCACCGGCCCGCACCTGCACTTTGAAGGTAAGCGCACTTTTTGGCCTGTTCCTCCACCCACCACCCTTCCCTGCAGACTTGCACTCTCCCTCCCACTCTTCTTCCTCACTTATGTGTGGGGGTAACCTGGCGAGCGACAGGGCCTCACGGGCCATCATTTGCCTACTCTCCTCCTCCTCCTCGCTGCATCTCCCCCGCTCCCACACACACATGCAGACATGCACACCCCCCCTTGTCTGCTTTCTTGTGCACAACCCCCCTTGTCCCACGTTTCCTCTGCACTTCATACACCGCACATTTCAACCGCCTTCTATCTCACCTTCCCTCCCGCCACCCTGTGCCATCTCGCACCTCTCCGCTCTCTCCCTTTCCTCCCTGTGGCACCTCGCACTTATTGGCCCTGTGCCCTCGCACAAAATCCCTCCCTTCCCCACGGCATTTCACACTTTTCTCCCTGTGCCATCACTCACCTATCCCTCCCTCCTTTTCCCCCTGTGGCACCTCACGCCTGTCCCCCTCTTCCCCCTGTGCCATCTTTCCCCACCCCGTAGTTCGCAAGAGAGGGGAGGCTCTGGACCCGTTCAAGTGGTGCAATCTATGACAGGAGAGAGCATTGGGGCTTAGGGGTTAAGACATTTCACAGACTCGCACCTTCCTCTCTCCCCTTTCCCCTTGCCCCTTCGCCATGTTTTCCCGTCACGCAGTTCGCAAGAGAGGGGAGGCTCTGGACCCGTTAAAGTGGTGCAATCTATGACAGGATAGGCCGGGCTGAGAGGTTTAGGTTGAGAATGCATTGAATCTGAAAGATTAGGACGAATCATAAACTCTTCCCTCTCCCTCCTCCCTTTCGACTGCCATCTTTTCCCACTCACGCAGTCCGCAAGAGAGGGGAGGCTCTGGACCCGTTCAAGTGGTGCAATCTATGACAGGATAGGCCGGGCTGAGAGGTTTAGGTTGAGAATGCATTGGATCTGAACGATTAGGACGAATCATAAACTCTTCCCTCTCCCTCCTCCCTTTCCACTTCCGTCTCTCCTCCCACTCACGCAGTCCGCAAGAGAGGGGAGGCATTGGACCCGTTCAAGTGGTGCAATCTATGACAGGAGATTGAAGCTGTAAGATGAGGTGCGATGAGGGGCTCTTAGAAGTTGAAGCTACGAGGCAGAGTGAATGAACCAGCCCAGCTGAGTGAACCCCTCAGTCGTTGGCGGAATGGGCGCCCGCCCTGCTGAGTGCTGCGGCTGCTCATCCTGCTGCTCCTGCCCATCCTGCTGCTGCTCCTGCACATGCAGTTCTTTCCATAAGGCGGTCTCACTAATTGCTCCAGTTTTTATCACAGGACAGTGTAAGTGAGCAGTCTGAATCGAGCTTGAGCCGATGCATCCGACTGGTGCTGCAAAAAGAGCACCGGTGGTAGATGATAAGAGTCAAACATCCTGAGAGACCGTTGAGTGTCATGCTGCCACACCACACCAAACCCCCACAGTAGTGTCCATGTGTTATAGCTTACACCGCCTCCAAACGGGGGCCTATTGAACGTGGGAATTCGCGGATACCAACACCACGTGGAACAACACAGGGGGATCCCTTTGCCATCTGCAAGATGTAGCTGGATCACTTGCTTAGGTTTGGTAGGTCTAGTGATGCAGGCAACTCGAGGTGGATGGGAGGGAACCTAGGGTGATTGGCTGGATGGCTTGACAGACGTTAATTTTGTGGTTTCCTGCAAGGGAGCCGGTTCTGGCAATGGTGTGGTGGTTGGGTCTTTTCTCTGTAAGCTGCATTAGCGTGAAATATACCGGTAGTTCACTGTAGCATGCTAATATATGAGTAGTATTGGTTATGATGCATGTTGCTTTCAGCTTCGTGTCACCATGTTGTTAACTGTACTGAAATAGTGAATGGTTATCAACACCTTCAAGCAGGCTGATCAAACATCTGAGGCCATTTTTCCAATGTTCACGCCAATGAATTACGTGTCACAATGCTTACACAAGGATGTGCAACTTCAAAATGTATGATCGAGGAATGTACAAATGTACAGAATAGTAAACCAGACGATTTTCATCTCATCCCTCCCAAGAGTGGGAAACCCAAGAGTTCCTAAAAATATGTACACACTGGTGCCCAGACCAGCCCTTCTCCCGATTCCCCCCCTTCTCTGGCTCCTGTGTTTCGTATATGAACGCATGGACGGACCGTCTCCCGCAGTGAGCCATACCGGCGGGAAACCATCCGAGCCAACCCCAGTAGTACTGCTTGGAACCACACTCGGAGGAAAAATCTTCTCCACACTCTTACCCTCTCCCTCCTCCTGCTGCTGCATCAGAAACCTCCCAATCGCATCCCGCAACGTCACCACTCCCAATCCCCCCACTCCCTCCAGTTCTCCCACTGTCTGTCAAACTGTTAAAATCGGAAGTGTTGTTTCATTGATGGTGGTTGGGGTACAAGTAGCAAACCCTAACATACGTACCCCCTAAGACACATCTCACTACAGGCTACCAACATTTGACACACCCCCATAGCCTAAGTGAGGGGTGTCTAGCAAAACCAAAAGAGTACGGTCACAAGACCAGTCACAAAGAAACAAAGCTCAGGGTGGATCAAAGCAAAGCAAGCAGTGAACTCAAGACTAAGTAAGCCGAAAACCAGTGTCAACAAGGCCTAACTGCACACAACACCTGTGGTGGTCACAAGGCGGAAGCGCCTTGGTAAAGATGTCTGCAGTGTTGGCCTCAGACTCCACAAACTCGAAGCGAGCCTGTCCACGCCTCTGCAACTCTCGCAGAAGGAAGTACCTGACGTTAATGTGCTTCACTCTGCTCTCCAGTCGCGGCTCTCGACAAAGGAGAATGGATGCCTTGTTGTCAGTGAACAAGGTCGGTGCAGAGCTCGGCCGCTCACCCAGGTCGGCGAGCAAGAACGTCAACCAACGCAGCTCCTGTGCCGCCATGGCACCAGCGTAGATCTCAGCCTCAGCTGTAGAGGTCGAGACCGAAGAGGAGCGCGTGGACCGCCAGGAAACAGCTCCAGAACCCAGACTGAAACAGTACCCCTGAGTAGACCTGTGAGTCTCAGCGTCGTCAGCGTAAGAAGAGTCACAGTGACCAGTAAGTACAACAGACTGCTGCCCTCCAAGTACTAGCCCCACGCCTGATGTCGTCGCTAGGTACTTCGCCACCCTCACAGCTGCTGTCCAGTGAACAGGACGGTGTCTCCCTGGCGCAACAAAGCGCGCAAGGATGCTGAGAGGGAAAGCGAGGTCCGGGCGAGTACACGTCATCAGGTACATGAGGCAACCCACAAGCTCTGCGTAGGGACCACTAGGCTCAAACGGCTCGTCAGGAAAGGGGCCAGTGAGTCTGTGGTCAACAGCAAGAGGTGTGCGCTGTACTGTGGAGTGCTGAAGCTCGAACCGCTAAAGGACCTGCTGCACCATGTGTGACTGTGAGAGTGTAATGGTGCGAGCAGCTCTGTCCCTGGTGATCTGCAGCCCAAGGTAATGGCGCAGCTCACCAAGGTCAGTGCACGTGTGTCTCTTCTGCAGTTCGGACTTCACGTCTGCCAAAGCAACCCTGTCAGCAGTGGCGAAAACTAGGTCGTCGACGTAAACCAGAACGAAGAACGGTGTGGAGCCACGGCGAACGAACAGCGACGGGTCGGCAGAAGACGGCTGGAACCCAAGGTCAGAGAGGGTAGAGCGAAGAGTGTCGTGCCACTCACGAGGTGCCTGGCGAAGACCGTAGACAGGTCGCCTCAGCCTCCACTGGGTCCCAGGAGGGAAAGTGCCAGTGAAGGCAGAGGGACGACGCAGCCAGACCTCCTCGTGTAGGCTGCCCTGAAGAAAAGCAGTGGAGAAGTCGAGAGAGTGTAACTCGTAGTCTCTCTGTGCTGCTACGTGCAGTAACACCCGAAGAGTGGTCATCTTCGGGGTCGGCGCGAAGGTCTGAAAGAAGTCAACTCCCTCGCGCTGACTGAAACCTCTAGCAACGTAGCGCGCCTTGAAGACTGGAGGAGATCCTGGTGGCCGCTTCACCCTGTAGATCCACATGCCATCGACTACGTTCGTCCCAGGGGGGGGAACCTCATCGACGTAGGTGCCTGTGGATCTGTAGGAGGCCATCTCTGCGTCCATGGCAGCTCTCCACTGAGAGGCCCAAGGCCCTGACACTGCCTCAGCGTAAGTGCGAGGAGTGGGAATGTCAAGGGCGTCGGGGTCACCCTCAGGGGTGAGGAGCATGGCACAGAGATGAGGGGAAGCGGCTGCCAGGAACTCTAGCTCAAACTGTCTGTCCTCTAGGACGTCACAGCCAAGGGCAGACACACCCCCGACGGCCAGAGGACTGGTAGGAGGAGCAGCCACAAGAGTGGTGGCGTAGTCAAGGCGGCGAGTAGAGGAAAACTCAGTGACCGCGGCAGTAAGAGCAGAGACAGAGGACAAAGAGGCACGAGGGTGGGTAACAAGAGAGGCGAGAACACGAGAGAGAACAGGACGGTACGTGCGGTAGTAGTCAGTGACAGGGGTAGAGAGAGAAGCTGTGAGGGCCGACTCAGGAGGAGAAGGAAGCACAGGAGGAGCCGAACGAGACGGACTAGAACGGAACAAGACAGTACGAAGGTCAGTGAAAGGAACAGGGGACGAGGGACGAGCACGAGGAGAGCGACGAGTAGCCCAAGTACGAGACGGAGGAGGAGAGGACAAAGGCGGAGAACTGGGGAAAACAGCGGGGGAGGAGTCAGGAGGAGGAAACGTGGGACCGGAGACAGGAGGAGAGGCGGGGGAGGGAGGAGAAGGAGAGGGGAGACCAAGGGTCCGAAGGCCCGAGACAGGAGGAGGAAGTGGCTGCTGCTGCTGCTGCTGCTGGTGCTGCTGCTGCTGCGGCTGCGGCTGCTGCTGGGACTGCTGCTGCTGCTGCTGCTGCTCCTGCGGCTCCAGCTGCTGCTGCTGCTCCTCCAGCCGCTGTAACTCCCTCTCCTCTCTCTCCAACGCCAGCTGCTCCTCACGGGCACGGCGAACACGAGCCTGGTGCCTAGTCGGGTAGGGGTGGGGGGGCGGAGTAGTGTCCGGAGCAGCGGCAGCTCCAGAGTCCACCCCCGAAGGACCAGGCACACCACCCCCAGAGGCAGCACTAACACCAGCTCCAGACCCAGGCTCACCAGAACCTGAAGGAGGCGCACCCTCACCCCAAGACGGAGCACCTCCAGTGTCCGCGCGACCAGCACCAGCTCCCGGAAGACAAGAGTCCTCTGCACCCACCGGCTCAGCTCCAACTCCAGCACCCCCAGAACCAGAAACCGGTACAGGAACAGGCTCGGCACCAACCTCTCGAGAGCTAGCACCTGCGGCACGCTGCGAGGAGGACTGTGGGGAGGGAGGCTGTACCGGAGGGGCTACCGAAGGAGGAGGGGTAGCCTGGGACACACCTGACGGGGCTGGACCAGGGGGGGGAGGCTGTACCGGGGGAGCAGGAGGGGGAGCGGCAGTCAGGAAGAGGGGGGGAGGAGGAACCGGGAGACCTCGACTGGGGTGCCTGACGAAGTACGGGGTGGACTCCTCGAAACGGACGTCACGGGAGTCAAAGAACCGGTGAGAGGGAGGGTGGTAAAAGGTAAAGTCAGAGGAGTCCTCAGGGAAACCAAGGAAGACACAGGGGACGGCGCGAGGCGAGAGCTTGTCCGCAGAGGTGTCGCGGACAAGAGCCAAGCAACCCCAGACACGAAACCTCGACGCAACACCAGGGGACCCGGTCCAAAGACTGGTCGGTGAAGCCTCTGGCCGAGAGACGCGTGGCCAGAGGTTCAGCTGGTGCGCGGCGTACCGAACCGCGTAAGGCCACAGAAAATGGGGGGCACGGGCGTGAGTCAGGGAGGTGCGGGCGATCTCCATGACCAAGCCTATGCGGCGCTCAGCAACCCCATTCTGCTGCGGGGACTCTGGAAGCGTCCAGGACTGACGAATGCCCTGCTCGCGACAGAATCCAGCGAGAATGCCGGAGCGAAACTCACCCCCGCGGTCGGAGTGAAGACAGCTGACACGACGACCACGAGTGTCCGCGGTGGTGAGCAACCACCTGATCAGCGTAGAAGTCACCTCAGA